TTGCTACAGCTGCTCTTAATTGTAGGGATTAATTTGAAACAATTTACAACAATTGCAGGGCATGATAGCAATTTCAACGGTTCGAGGGTCTAGTTTTGAAACAACTTACAAGGTTTGGGGGACCTACTACCAATTTCAATGATGTAAGGCATTAATTTCAAAAAAAAAAAGATTTAAGAGACTAATATCAAGAAAGACCTTTATTAATTGATACTGATACATATACGTCTTTTAACATTCATCATTATCAAAATAAAAGCATTTATCCTCAATCTTCACAGTCAGCTACCTGGATCATTGTTTACCTCCTCTAGGGACAATGTAAAATAACCATTGAAAATTTATCATCGCATTAGGTTGGCACCAGGGCGGCATGTTGCTGGGGCACATACCACTATAAATTATTTCGGAGTTATTCCATAATATTGCACTAAGTTTATGTTGGCCATTTGATTACTCAGAGCAGCCCCTGTATCCTGGGTTGGCACAGGCAACCGGAAGCATTGACATGAAACCTATGTCGCATGGAAATGGGTAATTTACTGGTATGGTTACGGGTGTGGGTAGGGACACAAAAAATTTGTAAAAGGTAGGGTACAGGGAACATGGCTATATACATATATTGAAGTAAAAAAATTTACATGGGATCAACATTGTTGTTCCATTCACATGTTAGGAGAATTTTGACTGGTCAAACAAAAAAAAACACATAAATGCTCATGTCTAAATATAGAGTTTTACATAGACATAGTATTTTAGTACAGTTAACAAGATAAAATTGTTGAGATATTAGTAATAGATAGGGTGTTATTTGTAAGTTATGTTGTAGGGGCCTATATAAGCCCAAGAGATTTCATAATACAATTAGGGTTTCTATTTCAACTTGGTATCAGAGCCTCCTCCAAACCCTAGCCGCCGCCACCCCACCTCCGTCACCGGCTCCCCCATCCCCCTCTTTTTGTGGCTGGCCGATCAGCCCCCACCCCCCCGCTCCCTCTTTCTGATCACCGGAAACCCCCCCCCGTCCCTCTTCGGAAACACCGAAAACCGACCCCCGTCCACTTCGTCAGCACCCCTCCCCATTCGATTCAGCGGGCCCCTCCCCCGTTCCATCGCCCCCAACCCACACCACCCCCCCTCCGCCTCTTGTCGGGATCACCGGAACCCCCCGGCCTCGCCCCTCTTTCCGGATCACCGGCAAAACCACACCCCTCCCAATTCGATCAGCCCTCCTACTTCGATCAGCACCCGATCCCCCTCACTCGATCAACCGACCCTTCGAACCCCCGCCCTCGCAAACCAAACACGGCCAGACCCCCCCCCTTTTTGCTACACCATGTCGAACCTCGAGTTTGACATGGATTCCCTCGACTCAGTCCTCGAACTGATGACAGGAAGAGTATATATCTCACGGCGATGAGATATATCACTGTTTTTTATTCTTGTTTCCTCTGAGAAACGAGAGTTTGTCTGAGATATTATTCTTGTTGTGTAGCAGAGGTGCTGCCGAAATTTTCACTGCACATAACAAGGGTCAGAAGAGACGGTGACCAGGTGTTGGGTCTGAAGCTTGATCAATGGAGGAGATTATCAAGAAGTTGAACCCGCGGAGGTGTCAACTTTGATGAAGCTGATGAAGTTGTCGGCTGGTGAGAGCGCGACAAAACCATCCAAGAAGTTAGAACTTCCTACCATAGATCTGAAGCTGGATGGACCTAGTACGTACCTGAGCTGGTCACAACGGGTAAGATATACCCTTTCAGGGCGGAATCTGGAGGGTTATCTGACAGGCGAGGTGACAGAGCCGGAGGAGGACTCAGAGGGAAGAGATGAGTGGAAGTCCACTCATATGTTGGTGTACATCTGGCTTCTCAACTCGTTGGTCCCGACGATCGCCGCCACGGTGGATGGCATTGAGAAGGTGAAGGACATCTGGGAGAAGTTGAGGAGGACATATGATGGAGTGAGGAATAACCTGAGGGTATTCCAGATTAAAGGAGAGATCGACGCCATAGTCCAGGGAGAGAGGACTGTACAGGAATATGCTACAGAGTTGGAGCGCCTGTGGCTGGATTATGATCATTTTTCCCCCCGGGCTAGCTGCAAGAACCCGGGATGTAAAGAGCGGGAGGCCTTTCTACAGGAGAGGACTATGGTGTTTCTCAAGGGATTGACATCAGAGTTCGCTCAGCGAATCGCATTGCTGCTAGCTCAGCCGAAGATTCTCACGCTTGAGGAGGCTGTCTCTGCTATGATCCAGGAGGAGACTCGTATTCGGCTGCAGGCGGGGACATGTGGACTTCCTGTGGTGAAGTCAGCACTGGCAGACTCTAGCAACACTGGATCTAGGGGAGAGACCCGACAATGCTACAACTGCGGTGTGGTGGGTCATCTAAGACATGCTTGCACCAATCCACCCAAGGAAGGAGATTCGGGTGGACGCGGACAGTTCGGAGGTCGTGGTCGTGGTCGTGGGGGTCGATGAGGTGGAAGAGGAGCAGGGAATCGGGCGAATCTGACGGTAGCAGAGGAAGAAGAAGCTGATGTGGTCTTTACAGAGGAGGATCGTGCTCTCCTGACGATACTCAGAAAAAAAACAGCAAGTAGCAAGGGATGGAGACTTGAGGAGTGGGACTGAGGAGGCATCCACTTCGTTCTTCGCCAGAGGCAACACTGCTACCTACGCTCATCCGATCAAAGGTAGTGATGACATACATGCTCTTGCTTCTATGTCTCCCGACAGATCATCAGAGTAGATAGTCGACTCCGGTGCGTCTCGCCATGTGACAGGTAATGCTAGTGAGTTCTCATCATATACTCACTTAGCATCGCCTGATAGTATTCAAACAGCTGATGGTACATTTCAGCCGGTGGTTGGTAAGGGTACAGTCGATTGTACTGGTTCTGTAACTTTGTCCAATGTGTTGCATGCTCCTTCCTTTCCAGTCAATCTTTTATCCATTAGTTCTATCATCCTCCAACTAAAATGCATCGTCTCTTTTGATATTCCCAAGGTAATCTTCCAGGAGAAGGGGACAGGGCGGAGACTTGGGACTGGCACATGGCGTAGTGGACTGTGGTATCTGGATCGTGAAGGGCTGGATTCAGCATTGGTGTCAGTCATAGAGGAAGCAGGAGTAGGATCTAAAATGAGTGCTGAAAATGAGTTAATGCTCCATCACCAGCGTTTGGGACACTCATCCTTTAGTGTTTTAGGTAGATTGTATCCTTCTTTATTTGAGAAAGCAAATAAACAGAAACTTGTGTGTGATGCATGTGAGTTTGGAAAGCTTACTAGAAGCTCTTATGTTAGTTCTGGTCATAGAAGTTCTCATGCATTTGACCTGGTACATTCAGATGTTTGGGGGCCTTGTTCCACAAGTTCTATGAATGGATACAAGTATTTTGTTACATTTATTGATTGCTTCTCTCGTGTTACTTGGTTATACCTGATGAAGAATAAGAGTGATGTGTTTGGGTGCTTCCAAAATTTTCATAAGACTGTTCAGACTCAATACGGAGCAGTGGTGAAAGTATTGAGGTCAGATAATGGGACAGAGTATACCAACAGAGCCCTTGAAGAATATTTGTCAGCTCAAGGAATACATCACCAGACAACCTGTCCATACACACCAGCACAGAATGGGGTAGCGGAAAGGAAGAACAGACATCTTTTAGAGGTTGCTAGAAGCATGATGATCTCTATGAATGTCCCAGAGACATTATGGGGACAAGCAGAAAAAGACAAGAAAGTAAATCTACACTACAAGCATGAATTTAAATCTAACTAATAAGCAATAATAAAGAAATTACTAAAAAGAAATAAAAGAAAAAAGAAATGCAAACCTTCAAATTGCTCTTCATCTCTATCCTCATCATTTAACAAGAGGAGAAAGAACAAATTTAAAGAGGAAAAATTATTATTATTAATTGCAACTAAAGTTATAATTTTTGGAAGGTCTTCTCAATTAAGAGTAGCCCTCCTCTCCAAAAGGAGTTTACAAAATTTTCACACCCCTAACCCCTCACTCTCTACCCCTATTTATAGTAATCTTCAATGAATATGAGCCATTGGATTTGTCTTGAGCCCCAAGCAACAATCTCCACTAATCTTCATTTGATTTTTTTTAAGGAGAAAATAAACAATGCAAGTCCGGCCCATAGCTTTAATTTCACAATTAAATCAAGTCCAATTCATGAGATCCAATTGATTTTCAAACAAACAAGTCCGGCCCATGCAGCAATCACCAATGAAACCGACCCAAATGTTTGCATTTGATTTCATTTGATTTTTGGAGTCCAAGCTGAGCAATCAAATTCGGTCTCCTTGCATTAAATCCCATGTATGCAGCCTAAGTAGCAAACAAGGAGCTCTAGAGAAGAACCGCACTTGGGAGCTAGTAAAGTTACCAGAAGGAAAGAGAGCAGTTGGATGTAAGTGGGTCTTTACTGTGAAGCAGAATCCAGATGGACAAATTGAGCGCTACAAGGCTCGTCTGGTGGCAAAAGGGTATAGTCAGACATATGACATCGATTATGATGAGATTTTTTGTACCGGTGGCGAAGATGAGCACTGTTCGGACCTTAATCTCTCTGGCAGTAAATGGTGGATGGAAGCTACACCAACTAGATGTGAAGAATGCATTTCTTCATGGAGATCTAGTGGAGGAGGTATACATGGAGATACCACCAGGATTTGGTACAGATCAGACAGTGGGAAAGGTCTGCAGATTGAAGAAGTCTCTCTATGGTCTGAAGCAATCTCCCCGTGCTTGGTTCGACAGATTCAGAAGGGCTATGATTGGTATGGGATACCAACAGATCAACGCCGACCATACAGTGTTCTTTCGACGAAGTGGAGGTCACATTACTATGCTTGCGGTATATGTGGATGATATGATTATTACAGGGGATGATGAGAAGGAGATTGCCCAACTCAAAGTGAGACTGGGTAAGGAATTCGAGGTGAAAGATCTTGGCTTGC